GACCCTGCCCTCAGCCTCATCCAGACTCCCATGTTCTCCACATTACTGGGCATGGCTGTCTAGCCACATGGGTCTAGGTCAGAGTCTGAAATCTTGCCAGGTTGAGTTCTGAGAGAACTTCCAGTTAGTATGCCTCTCCCTCTCTTGAGTTCCAGCCAGCTCAGTCAGGCACTGGGGCCTGCCTTCTCATTTCCGGGTCTCCAGGTCCCCCTCCCCCTGCCTCCTGCTCCCTTCACTCGGGGAATAGGGGAGCCGAGCCACCTCCTGGCCCACCTGCCCTGGCTCCTTGGACCCTCCACTTCTAATCCCAGGAGAGAACGCAAGGGGACCAGGAGACCAGGCAGAAGGCAACAAAACCTGGGGCCCTGTGTCTCTCACCTGTGTATCCAGAAATGTGCTGATAGGACAGCGACACCATCCTCCCACCAGAGAAGTTGTGAGCTGTCAGTGATCAAAGAAATTGAGGAAGAGGATTTGCAAAAGAGGCCTAATTCAGGCCAATCTTCCTCTTATTGAATGGCTCAGCTGGGGGCTCACCTGGTACCAGGATGCTACCTCCTCTAACTAAAGCACAGGGCATTTAATATGGCAGTAGCCAGTGAATAGCGCATGCGAACCAGGGAGGCCACTGCACCTGACCGTAGATAACAATTGACAAGACTTTCATCCCAAGACTATCTGAAGCTCTGGCAATTTGCTTTCTCCCTGGAGTATGTGGGAGAATGTTAATATTTTATGTTCCGTTAAAATATTTATAGAGTGGACAAAGTTTTACTTAGGAAATCTACCTGACAATGGATCCTAGCCCTAGTGGGGAAGGACTTTCTGTGCTTGGCCAACTGGAGGATGCCTGATTTGATGAGTTTTGGCCTAAGGCCTAGCATGAAAATTTTTTCAAAATTGCTCATTCGTTGTAGGAAGCAACTGTTTGGAAGGCAGAAAGCCTGTTGTTTTCTGGGCATTTCGGGTGGAGAGAGGTTGCTGGTACCTGGCCTGGGAGAGAAGAGAGCATATTGCAGGAGACCCCTCATCAGGAGACCTCTGGAGCTTCTGAGACAAAACACAAAAAAGGAAAGTTGCAAAGGAATGCTAGAGAGACCTGACTTTGGGACAGGCTGCAAAGAGCTCTTCAAATGTTAAGCAAGCAATCCCTGCCCTCACTATTTGTCAAGTGTCTACTAAGGTCAGACACTCTCCTGGATGCTGAAGATATAACTGGGATGAGGCAGATGCCGATCTTGCTTCTGGGATTTCTATTCCGCCCACCAAGGCAGGCAAATCAAGTATGCACATCAATATGCCATTTCAGATGGAGCTGTAGGAGAAAATTAAAACAGGGTAAGGGAATGGGCAGTGAGTAGGGTGAGCTCCTACAGAAGAGGTCAGGAAAAGGTCTGTCTGTAGGTGACATTTTTTTTAAGTTTATTTATTTTGAGAGAGAATCCCAAGCAGGCTCTGCACTGATGTGGGGCTCAAACTCACAAACCATGAGATCATGACCTGAGCCGAAATCAAGAGTTGAGCACTTGACTGAGCCCCCCAGACACCTCTCTGTAGGGGACATTTAAATTGATACTTGAGGGGTGCCTGGGTGGCTCAGACGGTTAAGCGTCTCTTGATTTCAGCTCAGGTCATGATCTCATGGTTGGTGACTTTGAGCCCTGCATTGGGCTCTGTGCTGATGGCTTGGAGCCTGCTTGGGATTTTGTCTCCTTCTCTCTGTCCTTCGCCTGCTGTTCTCTCTCTGAAAATTTATTGATTGATACTTGAATGTCAAGACAATTGGGTGCTGTGGTTGGCTTTATTTCCATCCTCAGATGTAGCTGGAGTGATTATCAGAGGGAGGAGCCCCTAGGTGGCTATCTGGGCCCTAGGTCCATAGACCTCCCACTATAGCTGCCCCTGTGTAGCCACATCTCTATCAGCATCCAAAGAGCAAAACATCGTGTGCTCTGGGGATGTGCCTGGGCTATGTCACGCTCACCAATTCTGGCAGGAACACAGTAGTTAAAAAAAAAAAAAAAAAAAAAAAAAAAAAAGCCTTAGGAATAAAATAAGAAACAGAATATCCTTTCCTGATGATTACCAGAGACAGGCAGTGCAATTTTAATTAACCCAGCCTTGTTGGGAGATAAATTTACTGCTCATTCTACAAAAACACCCAGCTCATGGAACACTGAGTCACTCTGATCTTTGACTTCATAACACAAAATGAAATACTTCTGAAGAAATACAGGATTTCATAACTCACAGCAGAATCAAAAGAACAGAAGGTCCTGCTTTGGCATTTCTTTCTTTCTTTCTTTCTTTCTTTCTTTTAATGTTTATTTTTTGAGAGAGAGAGAGAGACAGAGTGTGAGTGGGGGAGGGGCAGAGAGAGAGAGGGAGACACAGAATCCGAAGCAGGCTCCAGGCTCTGTGCTGAGAGCACAGAGCCTGATGCGGGGCTTGAACTCACAAGCTGTGAGATCATGACCTGAGCCAAAGTCAGCCGCTTAACTGAGCCACCCAGGCGCCCCCTGCTTTGGCATTTCAAAATTGGACAGACCCTTCAATGAGAAGGCCGTAGTCATAAACATTAATGGAATTCTAACAGGATCTCAACTTTGAGTTAAAATGACCAAACTTTTCAGCTTAGAGTAATAAAAGATTTCCAGATACAAACCCCTCTGGTCTACAAGCCTCATGCTAACCGCTCAACAGCCACCTGTAGTCAGTTTGAGACGGGTTGGAAGGAGCCCATTGCATGGCTGGACCCTTTCCTCCCATGTATAAGCAGAGAAAACTAGTATGGAAGGCAGTAGAGACTGGCAGAGGGCAGGGTGAACAGGCATGCAGCGAGGCTCACGGGGGAGAAAAGGCCAGGGCAGTCGTAGGCAGAGTCCAAGTCTGTACTTCCTGGGCCTTGGAAAGGGCTGCTGTCATTGCCTGAGGATCCCAGCCACAGGTCATAGGAGGCCCTTGGTCTGGAAACGGGAATAAGAGCAGCTTAGGTTGCCAAAGGTGTTGCGGGCAAATTAAACTCAAACTTTTGTGGGATACGTTCCCTTGAAAATAAAGAATGAAAATAAAAATCAAGAACCACTGCTTTCTATAATGGTCCACTCAGAGGTCCCAGTGTCATTTACTGCATTGCCTTGAAAATGGGCAAATTCTGGAAGCCAATCCATCCAGTGAGGAGTTTTACTTTCTTTTTTTTTTTTTTTTTTATTTATATATGAAATTTATTGTCAAATTGGTTTCCATACAACACCCAGTGCTCATCCCAAAAGGTGCCCTCCTCAATACCCATCACCCACCCTCTCCTCCCTCCCACCCCCCATCAACCCTCAGTTTGCTCTCAGTTCTCAACAGTCTCTTATGCTTTGGCTCTCTCCCACTCTAACCTCTTTTTTTTTTTTTTCCTTCCCCTCCCCCATGGGTTCCTGTTAAGTTTCTCAGGATCCACATAAGAGTGAAACCATATGGTATCTGTCTTTCTCTGTATGGCTTATTTCACTTAGCATCACACTCTCCAGTTCCATCCACGTTGCTACAAAAGGCCATATTTCATTTTTTCTCATTGCCACGTAGTATTCCATAGTGTATATAAACCACAATTTCTTTATCCATTCATCAGTTGATGGACATTTAGGCTCTTTCCATAATTTGGCTATTGTTGAGAGTGCTGCTATGAACATTGGGGTACAAGTGCCCCTATGCATCAGTACTCCTGTGTCCCTTGGATAAATTCCTAGCAGTGCTATTGCTGGGTCATAGGGTAGGTCTATTTTTAATTTTCTGAGGAACCTCCACACTGCTTTCCAGAGCGGCTGCACCAATTTGCATTCCCACCAACAGTGCAAGAGGGTTCCCGTTTCTCCACATCCTCTCCAGCATCTATAGTCTCCTGATTTGTTCATTTTGGCCACTCTGACTGGCGTGAGGTGATATCTGAGTGTGGTTTTGATTTGTATTTCCCTGATAAGGAGCGACGCTGAACATCTTTTCATGTGCCTGTTGGCCATCCGGATGTCTTCTTTAGAGAAGTGTCTATTCATGTTTTCTGCCCATTTCTTCACTGGGTTATTTGCTTTTTGGGTGTGGAGTTTGGTGAGCTCTTTATAGATTTTGGAGACTAGCCCTTTGTCCGATATGTCATTTGCAAAGATCTTTTCCCATTCCGTTGGTTGCCTTTTCGTTTTGTTGGTTGTTTCCTTTGCTGTGCAGAAGCTTTTTATCTTCATAAGGTCCCAGTAATTCACTTTTGCTTTTAATTCCCTTGCCTTTGGGGATGTGTCGAGTAAGAGATTGCTACGGCTGAGGTCAGAGAGGTCTTTTCCTGCTTTCTCCTCTAGGGTTTTGATGGTTTCCTGTCTCACATTCAGGTCCTTTATCCATTTTGAGTTTATTTTTGTGAATGGTGTGAGAAAGTGGTCTAGTTTCAACCTTCTGCATGTTGCTGTCCAGTTCTCCCAGCACCATTTGTTAAAGAGACTGTCTTTTTTCCATTGGATGTTCTTTCCTGCTTTGTCAAAGATGAGTTGGCCATACGTTTGTGGGTCTAGTTCTGGGGTTTCTATTCTATTCCATTGGTCTATGTGTCTGTTTTTGTGCCAGAGTTTTACTTTCAAACAATAAAGGAAAAGAAAAAGGAAACTAGTCTGAATAGGGTGGTGTTTATTCAAAATCATTTGGGCGAAGTCTATGGAATAAAAAGATGGTATATGTCTTATCCATTTTATTTTCTTTTTAAAAAATGTTCATTTTTGAGAGAGAAAGAGAGGGTGGGAGAGAACGAGTCAGGGAGGGGCAGAAAGGGGAACTGGGGAACAGAGAATCTGAAGCTGGATCTGGGCTCAGTACTGACAGCAGAGAGCCTGATGTGGGGCTCAAACTTACGAACTGTGAGATCATGATCTGAGCCAAAGTCGGAAGCTCAACCGATTGGGCCACCCAGGCACCCTATTTGATTTTCTTAAGTTGTTGGGAGATCAGTTCAATAAACATAATGAAAAAAATATGCTTTTAAAAATTTTTATTTTTTGTTATAAAACAAATATACATATATGTATAACAAAAATTCAAAACTTCTGCAAGATATGAATAGACAGCCAAAGTCTCACATAAGCCTATTGCTCTCTGGAAATAATACAGGGCCCTTAGATGCTCTCATTAGCTTGAAGGGTGGTTGCAAACAGCATAGGAAAAACAGCCAGGAAGAAAAATGGGATTGTGTGGCTTGTACACAGTGGTGCTCTGGGAATTTATTGGGTGCCCGTCACCTCTTTTCATTGGCAGCTTAACATTCTCTGTTTCTCTGTTCACAAGAAGACAGTGTGTCCTGTAATATGTCCACTGATCAAAACATGCAAGTGCTCTGACAGTAAAACTGGATAAAAATAATTTTAAAAATCCCGAGGCCTGGATAGGTATTGGTCAGGTGTAGGAAATACCGTGAAGACCAAAAATGTTTGGGAGTCTTGCTGCCACAGCAACAGTTCTGTGAGAGCCCTTCTGCCACTCAGTATTCCACATGGAGGCCAGTCCTCCTTTCACCAAAATCAGCACCCTCCTGCTGATGCCCTACACCCAGGCTGCTGCTCCAGCTCATCACTGTCGTCTCCATGTGCTTCACTCCAATAAATAAGGATGCAATTATCCCTTATGCTTGTCATGGGCAGCACCTGGTACCCAGAACACCAGAGCTACTCCCCTGCCCTGCACCTGTCCTACACTGACCACCACCCCCCCAGCAGGCCCTCTGAGCCTGAGGGCTCCAATCAGGCTTCAGGGACTTTCTGCTGTTAGTCAGCCCCAGTGTTCTAGAATTTGTCTTTCCAGCTGAGACCAATAAACTATCAGCTGAAGTCAGATTGTGGGCTGGTCAAAAGCCATCATCACTGCTGTCAAAACCCAGATCATATAGCATATTCTTCCCTGGATCCTTGCACAGAGGAGACTCTGAACTTCCAAGGTTGAGGTCACTGAACCAGCTCATCTGGTGGTCCCCCAGGGAACTTTTAGAAAGCAGGCTGTTGTCTTTGGAAGAATGCCCACTGAGCTGCAAGATGTTCTCCTGTGCTGCCCTCACTGTCTTACTGGGCATGACTGTTGCTCTCAGAACAGGGATGACTGGTTTTGTGGGAGTCCTGGAGCCCCACAGATGCAGGGACTGAGCAAAGGGTTCCTGCTGCTCCAGGGGGAGCCTTTGTGGGCCAGAAACTGGAAGCTGAGGATATTTAGAATTGAAAGCACAGGTTTTGCTAGGGGTTTGTTCTTGCTTCCTGGTTAGGAGCCTGCTTCTGCGGGCTTTCCTGGGCTGCTGCTTCTTGCCTTTCCCCCCTCTTTCCATAGTTCTGCCTTTCTGTGCAGTCACCAGCCTTTGTTCACAAGGGGCACACGAAAGCACACCTTCGGCTTGACATTTTTGGCAAGTGTTCTTAATGCTGGATTCAAAGTCCAGGGGTATAAACCTTGAGGCTCCTTGGGAAACCCAGCTCCAGTCACAAGGAACTTTGTGGCCTGGGGAACCAGAGCCATGATTCTCAGGGCTGGTTTTATTAAGAGTCCAATTCTGGCAGTTGGTCTGCACTGCCTTGTCCTTTACTCGCCTGCTTCTTTTGCCGGTTCCAGCAGCCATCAGCACAGCCTCTCCTTGGAAAGCATCACTTTTTGCTCCCTCAGTATAGATAGCAAACTCCCCAGGCTGCAGGGAGCCCATACTAAGATTCCAGACAGCAGGGATGGCCTGAGTCTGCCACATATCTGGTTCCTCAGAGGCATATCTGTCCTGCCTGGTGAAACTGAAGCTCTGGGCCAGAGGTAGTGAGGTCTGGGAAGTGCTGTCTTTCACATGCCCAGGTACCCGAGGGACTGAAATCAATCTCTTCAGCTCTGCTAGGACGCTGGCCACATTCAGCTGGCCTAGCTGCTCACACAGCTGCTGGAAGTCCTTACTCTGCTGGGCAACTAAAACTTCAAGGTGCTTCAGGTCGGACTTCATTTCTATAAATTCTGCTTGTCTCTAGGGAAAGACAGCGAGAAAGAAAAGAGTTATGGACACTGCAACTCTGAATGCACAGTGAAATGCGCAAACCAACCAAAGGATGTGTTGGCAGAACCACAGCTTGTCTTTTGCTGGGTGCTTTACAGAGGAAGCATGGTAACACTCTGGAGTAGGGCCCCTGGGCCCCACATCATGCCGGAGAACCTTTGAGGAGGAAGTTGGCCTCTACCTTGGTCCATTACACGAAGTCCTGTCTGGCTTCTGTTCTTGGCTGAAAAAAATTGCAACTTTAAAGGTGTCTCTCTGGGACTTAGTGACAAAGCCAAAAACATACTTGAGGTTTGAAATCATTGTTGCACTATATGCTAATTTGGATGTAAATTTAAAAAAATAAAAAATAAAACAGGTTCATAAAAAAATAATTAAATTTTTTTTTTAAAAAAACAACATACTTGAGGAAAGAGGTTGGGATCCACACTTACAGCTTCAAATCTCTTCCGTATCTCGAGGATAACCTGCTCCATGTTGCCTTTGTCATGCACAGTTCCCAACAGCAGATCACTCTGGGCCTGCACAGTCTCTTGCACTAAATACAGAAAAATGACAATTACCTCACGAAGACTATGGCATGCCTCACCCTTCCCGGACCACAGTGTGGAGAGGGAGGAGCTAGAATCTGGCATGGGGCACCTGAGCCTGCTCTGCTAGTGCCCAGAACTCTACCCAGATCAGCCTTGGTGAGGAGAGAAAGCAGAGTAGGGCAGTTCCTCCACTGTCTCTTCTTCCCTCTCTCCCTGAGAACATCCTGGCCAAGGCAGACTCAATCTCAGCACCTCCTGGGGACCCTGAAACCTGCTGCCTAGATGATGGCACCAACCTTCTCCTTGGCCCACCTTCTTGGTCCCATCATCAGAGTATTCTCTCAAGAATGTAGATATGATCATGCATCCTCTGAAACCCTTGCTGAAACTTTCAATGGCACCACACTGGCCACTGGATGAAGTCCAAATCTTTAAATTGGCCATCAAGACCCAAGCTCACTTCTTCTTACCTTCTCTATCCACCTCCACATCTATGAGCTCTGTTTCCTAAGCAATCTCCCTCTCACCACTGGCCTTGTGCATGCCGTTCCCTTGGCTTGGAATCTATCCTTGCTTCTACCCAGGTCAACTTTACCCATTCCCCTCAGCCACCACCTCAGTGCAACTCATTCCCATTCTTCCTTTTCTCAGGAGTCCCCTCCTTGAAAAACAGCATTTCCTGGCTGGCTTGGGGGCTCCTTCTCTCTGCTGCTGGCACCATGTGTGTGCTCTACCATCACTTATCACCCTCCACTTATGTATCCCCTCTTTACACTTGGGCTGTAATGAACTTGGTGACCTGAGTGCTAACCACTCAGGACTGATACTGATTCTTCTCTCTGGCATAGAGAGATTTGAAACACACACACACACACACACACACACACAGTCTTAATAACACATTGTGTTGCAATCAATTATTGTCATCCTCTTCTAAATGGCAGTTTATGTGAAGATGCTCTTAAATTTATTCAACAAATACTTGATGAGTATCTACTATATGCTATAAACTATTGTAAGTTCACATACATCTTAAATGCATAGCAAGTATAATTTACAAATAATCTGGAATAATACACCAGATATTCCTTTTATATTCTTATATATATAAAGAGTGTTTCAAGATTCTTTATTTACTTTTGAGATAGAGAGAGACAGAGCATGAGCAGGGGAGGGATAGAGAGAGAGGGCGACACAGAATCCAAAGCAGGCTCCAGGCTCTGAGCTGTCAGCACAGAGCCCGACGCGGGGCTCGAACTCACAGAGTGTGAGATCATGACCTGAGCCGAAGGTGGACGCTCAACCGACTGAGCCACCCAGGCGCCCCAAGAGTGTTTCAAGATTCTTGACAAAATGTTTTATTTTAGACGGGTGAAAAACAATTTGGTAACAAGAGAGTACTTAACTCTTCACAATAAATGTAAGGAAAACCAAAGTAACATCTGGTGCTTGAAAAGACAGGATAATAAACTCAAATTAGATCTTACTTGAAAACTTCCCTCACTCTGATAGGTGCTTTGTTAGTTCCCCATGTTTTAATTATTCTGTCTTTTGTCTTCTCTTATCAGCCAAAGGCAGGAATTTACCACATGGTATCTCATAAAGTTTAAGTGATTTACTTAAGAGTTTCTCTTTAAAATAAAACATAATTACCTTCTTAAAAGGAGTCTTACATTTCAGATTTTTTAAAAATGTGTATTTATTTTTGAGAGAGAGAGAGAGAGAGCACGCATGAGCAGGGGAAGGGCAGAGACAGAGAGAGAGGATCCAAAGCGGGCTCTGCACTGACAGCAGAGAGCCTGATGCAGGGCTCAAACCCACAAACCATGAGATCATAACTTGAGCCAAAGTTGGACACTTAACCAACTGAGCCACCCAGGCATGTGTTCAGTTTCTCTCTCTCTCTCAAAAATAAACATTTTAAAAAATTTTTTAAAAAGCATATCAAGGGAAAACATGAGGCTCAAGAAATGTCCATTAAAGGATATTGTGTGGGGGGGTACCCAGATAACATAAAGAATCAAGAAGAAGAATAGCATCAAACATCTCAATAACAAAACTAAAACTAGAAGACAATGGAGCCATGCCTTAGAGATTTTAACGGCAAAGAATTTCTCACTTAGGATTCTAGACCCATGTGGAGATAGAAGAGATTTTCAAACATGCAATGTATAAAAAAAGTTATCTCCCATATACTTTCTCAGAAAGCTACTAGAAGATGTGTATCACCAAATACAAGTGTAAGCCAAAGTCCAGGAAACAAAGGGATCCAAGACTGGGGATGAAAAAATAATTTGATCCTCAAAATGATGGTGAAGAGAAGTCCTAAGACTGGGACCTCAGGAGTAATCTGCCCAGTCTAGAGCTGGAAGACTGAGCTCCAGCCAGGATGTCTCTAATGAGAAAATGAAACAATTCCTGATGTGTTTGAACACATTGATTGGAGATTTACAGTTTTATCTGAAACTTATTATCAGATACTGTGCTAGGAACATGGAAACAGTCTTGAACAAAACTATCTACTCCATACATGAATTCTGCAATTTTGAAAAGGAGAAAATGACAATAAACAAATAAACATGAACATAAATAAGTGAAAAACTGTAATAAATGCTATGATAGGGATTGTAATAAAAATAAGAGGGGGGGGCATCTACTTCAGATAAGATCATCAGAGATGGAGATATTTAAGGTGAAACCAGAAGGATTAAATGGAGCTTGTCCTGCAAAGATTAGGGGAAGGTTGTTCAGACAGAGAAAACAGCAAGTGCAAAGTTCTGAGGCAAGAAAGAGCCTGTTATGACAGAAATAGACAAGCCAGTGTAGTCTTGCAAAGTAACAGTAAGAAATGGTAAATTTATTGTGTATTTTACCACAAGAAAAAAAGTAAGAAATTTTTAGAAAGCAAATGTTCTACTATTTCTCAATACAAAGTTAAATTCTCTATGTCAACCAATTAGAAAAAGGCTGTTTACTTATGTTTCAAGTACTGGATTCCTGTTCCTAAACTCAATCAGTCAAATATTCTTTCAGACATCCTTGCAGATATTTGTAGTAGGAAGCAAATGTAATTATCCTATCCTAGATAAATTCCTAAATAGCAATGTTTCCTAGCAACAGTAAACATCACCAACCACAAAAGCAGAGAATGAGGAAGGTAAGCAAAGTGTTCAATTCCAGATTCAGTACTCATAAAGCATCTATCTGTGGTCCCGTTCTTTCCTTGTCCTCTAAGAAACCTATGTTTGGGATCCTCTCTTTCACAGGATTTTTTGTATTGAGCTCATTACTTCCGAAGTCTATATATATATATATATATTTTTTTTTTTCTTTTACAAAGTTAATTTGGGGCGCCTGGGTTGCTCAGTCAGTTAAACATCCAACTCTTGATTTCAGCTCAGGTAATGATCTCAGGGTTCGTGAATTTGAGCCTTGCATCGGGTTCTGTGTGGACAGTGTGGAGCCTACTTGGGATTTTCTCTCTCCCTCTCTCTTTGTTCCTCCCCTGCTCCCTCGCTCTCTCAAAATAAATAAACTTTTTTAAAAAATTGCTTTTTTTTTTTAAAGTTTATTTAAGGGGCACCTGGGTGGCACTTGACTATTTATTTATTTTTAAAGCACCTGACTCTCAATTTTGGCTTAGGTCATGATCTCATAGTTTGTGGGATCAAGTTCCACGTTGGGCTCCCTGCTGACAGCATGGAGCCTGCTTGGAATTCTCTCTCTCCCTCTCTCTCTCTGCCCCCCCCCCCACTTGCTCACACACACACACTCTCTCAAAATAAACATTAAAAAAAATTGTTTAGGAAAATAACTTAGTGGTCCCTGAGTGGCTCAGTTGGTTAAGCATCCAACTTCAACTTAGGTCACGATCTCATGGTTCCTGAGTTCGAACCCGCATCAGGCTCTCCACTATCATCAAAGAGCCCGTTTTGGATCCTCTGTCCCCCTCTCTCTCTCTGCCCCTCCCTTGCTCATACTCTCTCTCTCTCTCTAAAAATAAACATTAAAAAAAACCCTCAAACCTGTAACAGTATAAAAAGGCATACAATGAAAAATGACCCATTCTCTTCCATGCAGACCTTGGTTCCACTTCCTAGATTTTAACATTATGAGCACTTTCTGGGATTTTGCATGGATACATTGATACATGTGTATATCCATATATAGATTACAGATTGTGTTCGTGTGTGTATATGTGTGTGTATGAGTGGTTCTTTAGAAGGGGACTCATTTCATTTCTGCTTTGGCTGTAAACATCAGATATTTTTAGCTTTTTTTATAACAATGCCATTTAAAATCCAGTTCCATATTCTGGATAATAACTGTTTTCTTAGAAAATGACTTTTTTATTCATTTCTATTTTAGTGTTCTGACAAGGGCTCTACTGACATCAGATGAGATTCTGATGCTTTTGCACTGATGGCCAGTAGTTTTCCTTTTACACACTCCATAGTTTTGCTTTCCCTGCTGTGCCAGTGAAAGCCTGATGAAAGTCTGGGAGCCTCCATCTATAAGAAGAGATTCCTCAGTCTCTCATTTTTGGGGGGGGCTACCCTTCCCAATTTTCACTGACTGGTCACACTCCTCCACAAGATGTGTCCTGGAGTAAACTATGTACACACGAGCAGTACCTTACTGTTATTATTTAACAATGAATAGATATTTCCATTTCAACATAGTTCACAAAGATAGACCTCATTCTTCTTAATGATTATATGTGCTTTGCTTAAGAAGACACTGCTGCACTCCAAAATTATAAAAATGTTGCCCATGCTTTCTTATAGTTGTTTTTTTTTTTTTTTTAATTTGAGAGAGAGAGAGCGTGCATGTGCTTGAGGTGGGGAGAAGGGCAGAGGGAGAGAGAACCATAAGCAGACTCCATGCTCAGCACAGAGGCCGACACAGGTGTCTATCCCACAACCCTGGGATCATGACCTGAGCCGAAAACAAGAGTTGGACACTCAACCAACTGAGCCACCCAGGAGCTCCTCTTATAGCTCTTTTTATGACTTAATAATTACACTTAATATATTGGTTCATATGGAATTTATTTTTATGTAGAGTTATCTATTTTCCAAAAGAGACATTTTCTGATTTTCAGTACAGCCCCTCATTTTTATTTTCCTAATGATCGTATTTTTCAATAGAACCGATACCCATTAGATTGTACTGCTCTCGGGGCGTCTGGGTGGCGCAGTCGGTTAAGCGTCCGACTTCAGCCAGGTCACGATCTCGCGGTCCCTGAGTTCGAGCCCCGCGTCAGGCTCTGGGCTGATGGCTCAGAGCCTGGAGCCTGTTTCCGATTCTGTGTCTTCCTCTCTCTCTGCCCCTCCCCTGTTCATGCTCTGTCTCTCTCTGTCCCAAAAATAAATAAACGTTGAAAAAAAATTAAAAAAAAAAAAAAGATTGTACTGCTCTCTACTAAGGCTAACTAAACCTAAACTAAAGTAGGATGTGAATGGCCTTGGCAATTCATTCTATTACTCTGGTTCTTGGTCCTCAGCTAAAGAACAAGAGGAGTTAGATTAGATGCCTTTGAGTGATCCTTCTGGTTGAACAGGCAGACTGTGACTAGGGAAAGATTTCATGACCTCATTCTGTGAAGGCGCCAATTACATAATAGCACAAGAGAGTACTTTCACACAACATCTTTTCTCTTTCCCTTTCCCTTACAAGCCACAGTCAGTGCATACTGAGGGCTGCAGAATGTATTGACTGGCAAATTCAGGGCTTCAGGTCAGCTGGACTGGGGCAGACCAGATGATGATAGAGGATTTGTCTGGTTCCTCTTTCAATGACTAACTTCCTGATCCTCATCACTACCTACCAAGAAAGGGAATGACTCTGGACAGACTACTTGTGCTCATTTTCAAGAATGATCTGGCTTTCTAATTAATATGATGCTACACTGTCTGTTACTGTTTTCCCTATCAATGTGGCTCCTTCTCCTAAATCTTACCCTCTAAAAAGGAACCATCAGGGGTGAAGGATTGGGACCCCTATGCCTACTATAAGCCAGACCCAGTTCTAGTCCTCACTCTGCCTTGACCTTGTATTGGGATTTAAGCACTTCCATTTCCCGTATTGGACTAAGAATGTCACATTTTTGCTGCAACCCTCCTTTTGCATTTCACCTAGTTTTAAATGTAGAAAGTGAGAAGAGTACTCTCCTTGGACACTTCCAAATGAGTTATTCTATCATGTTACACAAAGGAAGCATTCCTGATTTGCTTCTGCTCTTTGTCTTGTTACTTCTTGTGAGGATAATAGTCCCAGGCTTCCAGAACTGATTTCCAAACAGATGCACAGTTGCCCTGTGTGGGGGATACCCAGGTTGGAAGCCAGCAGACAGTACAGTGCTTTTTTTACAGACAGATGGAGATTAATTTCTAAGCCACACAAAGGCATTAATTTTTGTAAATCATGAGCAATCCATCCCAAAGCATTTAAATAAGTTGACTTCAATTTGTTTAAAATAAAAAATAAACACACAGAGAAATGCAAACAAGTGCAGATGCAGTCATCATCTTGCCATTTAGCTGAGAAGCTGTTGGTTCTACAGAGGTGTCCACCTAAGGAGAGCTGTGTTATGGCTCTCTTCTGTTTAGTAAGAGCCAGGACCAGGTTTTATCTAAACATAAATCACTACTTGGCAGAGCATGGGACTTTACAAACCACTAACTATAACTGAAATGGAGAAAGATGCTGTGATTCACTACGGAATAGCTCTCACTGAAACCAAGACAGAAAGAAGAAGAGGCGGTGACTGGAGTATTTCTAACTCCAAAGTGAGCAGAGTCTTTATTTCTAAGTCCTAAGGGAACAATATCTTTACAGACAGCATAACCAGCAATTCATTTGGGACTCAGGGATGCTGCTGATTCACTTCAGGCAGTGAGATGAGAAATCTGGCAGAGCTAGCCTACCCAGAGGCAGTGGGGTTACTGGGTGGAGGATTAGTAGTTCACAGAGGGCATCTAAGGACCAGGAACATCCTCATACATAGGGGTTCCTACTATCCAGTTCAGCGTGCTCCACATCTCTTCAAGACTAACCTTATGTACCCATCCTCTCATCTGAAATACTGTGAAACCTCACCACTGGCAGAAACATGGCTAGGGTCAGAAAGTTCAGTTCTCTGCTCACTAGTGCCCTCTGCTGATAACCTCAAACACGAGATACTCACATGTCTTGGCCACAGTCTCCAAACAATCTAAAATAGATTGACTTCTTGAACTGAGATGTTCCTCAGACTTTTCCACAGATGCCTGCAACTAAGAAACCCGAAATTAAGAAAAAATTCAGACTGTTGCCTTATTTTACTAACTTGGAGAATTGTCATTTAATGATAAAAAAAAGAGTTAAAATCTTGCTATTCTATTTGAATTAAGGTCAATGGAATGTAATTATTAAACTTCTTAAAACGTAAAATGTTCTAATTTCTTGACATGTAGCTATACTTACCTTGTGAATGCTTTCTCTGATATGGGAAATGAAGTTGTATAGAGTCTCACTAGAATGAGCAAGAAAAAAAAGAAAATGAATCTTTGTGAAATACTGAAAATGTACCAGAATCAATTCCATGAACATGGCAGGCTGTAAAACAGTGCTTAGTTAGAGCTGGGAGACTCAACCCTGAAAAACCTTAGTGTCCAGCTATAAAAAAATTAGAACATAGACTTTTCATGACCATTGCCAAAGCAAACCACTTTTTTCTTTTTAAAATCTACTCTAGGGGCACCTGGGTTGCTCAGTTGGTTAAGCATCTGAATCCTGATATGGGATCAGGTCATGATCTCTCGGTTGTGAGACTGAGTCCCACATCGAGTCCCACATCAAGTCCCACGTCAAGCCCGGTGCCAGGCTCCGAGCTGATCATGGAGCCTACTTGGGATTCTCTCTCTCCCTCTCTCTCTGCCCCTCCCCCCTCATTCTCTCTCTCTCTCTCAATAAATAAATGAACATTTAAACCTGCCAGATACCAAAAAAAGAAGAAGAAAATAAAATTTACTCTACATGTATCTTTAAAAAGGTTAAATATTAGGGGCACCTGGGTGGCTCAGTAGGTTAAGCATCCAACTCTTGGTTTTTAGCTCAAGTCATGATCTCAGTTTTGTAGATTCAAGACCCACATTGGGTTCTGTGCTCTACCCCTCCCCTACTCACACTGTCTCTGTCTCCCTCAAAATACATAAAACTTAAAAAAAATTTTTTTTTGCTAATTTTTATTTTTAGCAACTCAAGTAATTACTACAGTAAAACAGGTCAGCTTTTATTTTTTCAACGTTTATTTATTTTTGGGACAGAGAGAGACAGAGCATGAACGGGGGAGGGGCAGAGAGAGAGGGAGACACAGAATCGGAAACAGGCTCCAGGCTCTGAGCCATCAGCCCAGAGCCTGATGCGGGGCTCGAACTCATGGACCGCGAGATCGTGACCTGGCTGAAGTCGGACGCTTAACCGACTGCGCCACCCAGGCGCCCCCAGGCCAGCTTTTATTTTTATAGCAACAATGGCTTCAGAAGATAGTGATTTCTTTCTGGTAGTACAAAATTCCTGGATATATCTTAATCTAAAGACTATTATTTTGACTGTAAGAATGGGTAGAGACAATTCTGGGAGCAATAGTAATTTCTAATGAAAAAGAAACTATTACAATTATTCCTCAAATGAATATCCCACTTTTGAAAAGATTCATACATGGATTATCATGAAAAATTTTACAGATTTTGTTTCTCTAATCTACACAATATAAACGCAAACATCAATTTTTAAATCCAAATAGAACTACTATTCGTACCAAGTCTTTTGGATACTCAACCTACTGAGTCAGCCAAGTGCCCCTAACATTTTCCTTTTAAAGTAGGTCTAATTGTTCTCTAAAATTTTCATTTTATTTTATTTACTTATCTTTTTTTTTTTTTTTTTTTTTGAGAGAGAGAGAGAGCATGAAAGCAGGGGAGAGGGGCAGAGACAGAGTGAGAGAGAATCCTAAGCAGGCTCCTTGCCCAGCACAAAGTCCGACACAGGGCTCCTTCCCACAATGCTAGGATCATGACCTGAGCAGAAATCAAGAGTTGGACACTTAACCAACTGAGTCACCCAGGCCCCCTCACCCCCTGCATCAAATCTCTTAAAAGCAACATATAAAGTGATATGGCAATAGGAGCAATGCTTTAGAAATTTTGAAGAAAAATAATGAACCAATCTAGAATTCTAATTTGCAATCAAGTGTGAGGGGAAAGTAAAGAATTTCAGATATGCAAGTTCTCAAAAAATTACTTAGGTGCCATGCATCTGTTGTCAGGAAGTTTCTGGAATATATGCTCCACCAAATCCACGGAGTAAACTAAGAAAGAAAAGGATCCAAGTAGCAGAGAAATCAACATTGGAGAGAAGAGGTAGGAATGCCTAGGACAATGGTGAAGGGAAGATTCAGAATGACAGCTGCACTGCAGAGCAAGTTCAGATAAGAATTAGGAAGAATGACTCTGAGAAGAAAATGACACTGAAAGAATTTCTGATGTGTTTGAAAGAATTTCTGATGTGTTTTTAATTTAATTTTATTTTTTATTAAAAAAATTTTTTAATGTTTATTTATTTTTGAGAGAGAGAGACAGAGACAGAGCATGAGTGGGAAAGGGCAGAGAAAGAGGAGGCACAGAATCTGAAGCAGGCTCCACACAGCTCGACGTGGGGCTTGAACTCACGGACCATGAGATCATGACCTGAGCCAAAGTTGGACACTTAACCAACTGAGCCACCCAGGCACCCCAAACAAGGAGCTTTTTAACTAAAAGTTCTGTGTAGAATTTGGGGAAAGACAGATTCCTACATAGAAAACTCAGCAAAAAAGAAAACAAGACAATTTTTAACATTAGGAAAATATAATCATAATATATATAATTTTTCTAGGCTATCCAGATAAGGATTTAAAGATTGTGGGGCGCCTGGGTGGCGCAGTCGATTAAGCGTCCGACTTCAGCCAGGTCACGATCTCGCCCTCCGTGAGTTCGAGCCCCGCGTCAGGCTCTGGGCTGATGGCTCAGAGCCTGGAGCCTGTTTCCGATTCTGTGTCTCCCTCTCTCTCTGACCCTCCCCCGTTCATGCTCTGTCTCTCTCTGTCCCAAAAATGGATAAACGTTGAAAAAAAATTTTTTTTAAAGATTGAGAAGTGATTTAACTGAGGGGCACCCGGGTGGCTCAGTTGGTTAAGCGTCTAACTTCAGCTCAGGTCATGATCTCACGGTCTGTGAGTTCGAGCCCCGCGTCGGGCTCTGGGCTGACAGCCTAGAGCCTGCTTCTGATTCTGTGTCTCCCTCTTTCTCTGCCCCTCCCCTGCTCACACTCTGTCTCTCTGTCTCAAAAATAAATAAACATTAACAAAATTTTTTTAAAAAAGAAAAGTAATTTAACTGAAAATGTCCATACAACTATATCGGGATGATGGAAGAGGAGAAGTTTATGATGGAGGAGGCAGAGAAGCAACTTTTTATTCCAGGGTAGCGAGTCATTCTCTGAAGCTGAAAAATCAATAAATGATAATGTAAGTTATCTAACATATGCCATAAGATATATGCAGGTTAAGTACTGTCATAGCTAAAAAGGTTGCAATTTGGTTGCAAAAAGGAAAAGGGAATTAGAAGTGGAGAAAGAGGGGTGCCTGGGTGGCTCACATCTGACTCTTGATTTGGGCTCAGGTCATGATCTCATAAGTTCGTGGGTTTGAGCTCCATGTTGGGCTCTGCACTCTCAGTGGGGAGCCTGATTGGGATTTTCTCTCTCCCTTTCTCTCTACCTCTTCCCTGCTCCCTGCTCATTCTCTCTCTCAAAACAAATAAATAAACTTAAAAAAAAAAAAGAAATGGATAAAGATAGGCCTGGTGTTTTTCATTATAATCCTAATTATATTTTTAAAAAACTATGTATAGGTAATAACTTGATTGAAAAAATACATAAAATTTTAAAGATGTCTAAAGTCTAATAATGCTACCAAAATGCTGCCCATGAAAGCCTCTATTAAATATAATATGTAACGACCTCACTCCTTATTAGTACAATTGGAAACCAATGTTCCCAACATGAAACTATATTATACAAATTAAATACTGTTTGTATATAATTTTATATTGAAATGTTTTATATATATCTGACAGCTCCCATTACCTTAACTTTTTTAATCCTTGATTACACCTTGTCTGAATTGAAATGTCAAGTTCTGATTTATCCAAAGTCCTTAAAAGATGCTTAGTAAAGAGAGTAAAAACATTGAGTGCTTGATAATTCAAACTTTCATTAAAAGCTACTGTTCATTTGGAAGCAATTATTATTCTTTACCAAAATAAAATAAAAAAGAATGCTCAAAAATAGAGATTTCCCATCTGCCCCAATATTATGTATAAGTTCATGGAAGTCAACTGTGACCTAATCTTTTCTATAGAAAAAGTCAATTGGGAAATTCTGTTCATCTGAGCTAAAACGCACACGCACACGCACACGCACACACACACGTGCGCGCGCACACACACACACACACAACCTATTTTTAAGAATGGAAGGAAGTTCTTTACTGCCCTATGTTGAATTATTTTGCTTTGAAAATCCACTCATTTATTCAACAACTATTTATTGAGCCCTCTTTTATGACAGGTCTTTGGTTATAAGTTTTAGTGATGTGGAGTGAAACTCAACTCCCTACCTTCAAGGAGCTTACCTAGCTAATGTTTTTAATGCAGTTTCAAAATCCATTCAAATTGAATGATCTTTATTTAAAAAAATTATCGAAGTTTATTGAACCAAATATGCTTATTGAGATGTTCAATAACAATGTATTTAAGTAAATTATAGTACATGCAGAGCTGACAGCAACCTCGCATGAAGACATAGCTGTATCAATTGCTTACAGTCAGCATTTGTTCTGAATGGTGAGTGTTCAAGCTGTATTTTTTAAATGTTTATTATTTTTGAGAGAAAGACCTTGAAGGGGGAGGGGCAGAGACAGAGGGGGACAGAGGATCCAAACTGGGCTCTGCAGTGACAGCAGTGAGCCCGATGGGGACTCAAACCCATAAACTGCATGGGGGACTCAAACTCACGAACTGAGAGATTATGACCTGAGCAAAGTCAGACACTGAACTGACTGAGCCATACTGACTGAATAATACTATATTCTTACAATAAAGTAAGCTAAAGAAAAGAAAATGTTAAGAAAACCATAAGAAAAAATACAATACTGTAATATAAAAATTTGCATATAAGCAGATCTGCACAGTTCACACCTGTGTTGTCCAAAGGTCAACTGTATTTGTCCTTCTGTGTCTGACTTATTTAACATAACATCCTTCAGGTTCATCCATATTGTCACAAGTGACAGAACGTCTTTCTTTTTTAAGGCTGAAGACTATTCCATTATATGTATATACCACTTTTTCTTTATCTGTTCATTCACTGATTGACATTTAGGTTACTCCCATCTCTTGCATATTGTAAATAATGCTGAAATGAATATGGCAG